TGATATCAGAATCGCCTCTAGCAAGCAATAATAGTGATCCTTCTACTAATCGGCCAGTAGACCGCGTTGTCACCACATAACATAGAGAACCAGAACATAGCCACACTGAGAATGAGTCTACAGAGGGGGAAAACTTGCTATTATCCAAATCTTTATGCCCAGATACTCCAGTTAAAAGTCTAGCCTTGGTGGAATCCTCCTCATCGAGAGCAGCTTGTGAATTTGGAGTAGACATGATAGTGGAGAAAAGCTCACCAACTCAGCCCTTGCCAGTTCTCAATGTCAGAGAGAGGGGCTTGAAGATTATTCCAGAAGGAGAGATTACCTACAAGGAGATCCAAAAGGAGGTAGCAATAATCGAGCAATCTCTAGAAAATCAGATCCAAATAAAGAAAGTGAAAATATGGAAGAGGACAAAGTCAAAGGTGGGTAGACTGGCTAGGCAAGAACAACAGCTCAATGATGCTGCAATCCTATCTGTTTCAAAAAAGAGAGGAGGGGATGAATTTGTTCAGAATGAGGCAGAGAAATCCAACAATGATGAAGAGACTGGTAAGAAAAAGGCTAAGATGTCAGGTAAAGAGGTGGTGGTAGCCAGCCATAATTGGCCCCAGAGTGACCAATGCTAGCTCGGGTGTAGAACTGTAGAGGATTGGGTGGCCTCTCTAAAGTTCCCCAAATTCGAGAGGCTGTGAGTACTCACCACCCAAAATTTTTATTTTTCTCAGAAAAAAAAAAAACAGAAATTTTACTGATATGGTGTGTAAAAATTTGGATTTGAGGATAGAATGTGTTTTGTGGAGCCAATAGGTAGTAAAGGGGGCTTACTATTAGGATGAGATATTGATGTTATTGTTATTAAAGTCATTCCCTCGAGTTTTTGTATTCAAGTTCAATATCAGCTTTCTATAGATAAGGAGCCTTGTTGGCTTGTTTTTGTGTATATGAGTACTGACCCCTCTATTAGAAATCTGCAATGGCAGACTCTTATTGAGGAGAAACAGAACTGGGGAAACACTTGGTGCATTCTAGGTGACTGGAATGACTTGCACTCATCAGAGAATAAACAAGGAGGCAGACCCAGAAATCAGAGAAGCTTGCTTCCTTTTCAGAACTTTATTGCTAATATGGGAATGTCAGAGCTCCCTATGAATGGTTACCAATTTACATGGTGCAACAACAGAGGTGAAGAAGGTGTGGTAGAGGAGAAGCTGGATACTGCCTTTACTTCCTTGGGGTGGTTGACTAAATTCCCTTGCTCTAAATTGTTAAATTTATTTAGAAGTGCCTCAAATCATTGTATGCTGATTCTGCAAGTTGAGCCTTCTGAGACTAATTTCAAAAGTACATTCAGGTTTGATAAAAGGTGGATTACCTCTCCTGGGATCTGGGATGTAGTCACTCAAGCATGGGGACAGAGGTTCAGGGGACTCCTTTTTTCCAGCTGAAAGAGAAAATCAAATCTACCAGAGTGGCTCTGCATTGCTGGAATAAACAAAGAGGTTCTGACAGCAAGAAGAGAATTGTTGTGCTAACTTTGAAACTTGATGAAATGGTGAAGCTTGGGAATGGTAAAAACTGGGATAAATGGGAAAGTCTGAAGAAGGAGTTGGAAGATGCTCATTGCTCGGAGGAGCTCTTTTGGCAGCAGAAATCTAGAAACATGTGGCTTAAGGAGGGGGACCGAAATTCAAAGTTTTTCCATGTTGTGACTGTCCAAAGAAGAAAGAGAAATGCCATCACTAGAATACTTGATGACAGGAACATAATTCTTGAATCTAAAGAGGAGTTGCAGGCCCACATTTCTACTTTCTATCATAAGCTTTTCTTATCATAAGGGTTAAGTGGAGAAGATAGAATCTTACAGCTTATTCCTCAAACTATCACTCAAGAAATGAATGAGAATCTTACTGCTACAGTGGATGAAGAGGAAATTAAGTTGTGCCTTTTTTCTATGAATCCTCTAAAAGCTCCTGGTGAAGATGGAATGACCATTTTGTTCTACCAGCATTTTTGGCCGGTTATTAAGCATGATCTGTGCACTGCAGTCAAGAGTTTCTTCCAATCAGGTAGATTTATGAGATATTGGAACCATACCTTGGTGACATTGATTCCCAAAATGTGATAATCCCTCTTCTTTGAACCAGTATAGGCCTGTCAGTCTCTGTGTTGTGGTTTATAAGGTAATCTCTAAAATTCTTGCTGATAGGCTCAAGAGGTGTCTGCATCATTGCATTAGTTCTGCTCAGCCAAGTAAGAAGTTGCTTGATAATATTATAATAGCACATGAGAGCTACCACTATTTAAAAAGACACATGAATGGTAAACCAGCTTTATGGCTCTGAAACTTGACATGATGAAAGCGTATGACAGAGTGAATGGAGATGTCTTAGTGTTCTTATGCTTAAAATGGGGTTTGCAAATTCTTTTGTCCAGTGGGTTATGTTCTGTGTCTCTTCTGCTACATTCTCTTTTATGCTTAATGGTGAAGCTGTGGGTTTTGTACATCCTTCTAGAGGACTGAGACAAGGAGATCCTATATCTCCTTATTTCTTTCTCATTGTGTCTGAGGCCTTATCTACCCTCATTGGTGCTGCTGCTACAGATGGATTGTTCAGAGGACTCAGGCTGGCTAAGGGAGGCCCTGTGCTTACTCACCTCCTATTTGCAGATGACCTTCTTGTGTTTTGTAAAGCTGATGTAGAACAAGCAGTGCTGTTAAAGAATTTTCTGCAGGAGTATGAGAGGTGTGAATCTCACTAAGTCAAAAGTTTTTTTCAGCAAGAACACCATGCCTCTGATGAAATTCAATATCTGTGATGTGCTTGAAGGCCTGACAACTCACAATTCTTCTACATATCTTGGGCTCTCCACGGGCATTGGCAAATAAAAAAAAAAAGAAACCTTTGAGTTTGTTACTGAAGCTGTCAGGAAGAGGCTGAGTAGTTGGAAAGATAAATTCCTGTCCACAGCTGGCAAGGAAGTGTTGATAAAAGCAGTCATTAATTCTTTACCTGTTTTTGCAATGTCTTGCTTCAAACTTACTGATGGAATCTGCAGGGAGCTAGCTAGTATGACAACTAAAATCTGGTGGAGTAAGGGAGGGAATCAGGAGAAGGGCATACACTAGAAATGTTGGAGTCTGCTAGCACTGCCTAAAGATCTAGGAGGTCTGGGATTCCATGACTATAAACTCTTTAATGATGCTCTCCTGTTGAAGCAGTTATGGAGAATCAATACCCAGCCTGATCTACTGGTCTCTCAAGTGTTGAAAAGCAAATATTGTCCAAATACCTCCATTTTTCAAGCAACAAAGAAAGATTCTGCTTCTTGGCTATGGTCAAACTGGTTGAAGGTACTCCCTACTTTTAAATCTTTCTGCTGGAAGGAGATAAGATCAGGAAAAAATACCACAATTCTTGAGGGTGGCTGGATCCCTAATATGAATGGCTCTGCACCCAGTTTCCTAATTGAGGATGAAAATAACCCCACTTGGGTCAATGAACTGCTTGGGTCCTCAGGTAGAAACTGGAATGTAGAGCTGGTGAAAAACCTTTTTCCCCAGTAGTTCAGTGAAGCAACCCTAAAAATCAAAATAGTTACAGATGACAGAGATGATATATGGAGATGGGGACTGAACAAAAAAGGTGACTTCACTATGACTGACTCTTACTCATACTTAATTAATGAAAAGGTGAAAATCCTTGATATAGCTGAGAGTAGCAGTGCAAAGAGAAGGGACAAACTGGTGAGAGACGAAGTTGGAAATTAAAAGTTAGAGGAAGGATCAAACACTTTATTTGGAAATGTTGCAATGGCATTCTTCCTGTGGGAATGAATCTGAGGAAAAAAAGGAATGGGGCTGGATACAATTTGCTTAGTATGTCGGGAAGCAGATGAGACCATAGAACACCTTTTTCTTTATTGTCACAAAGCAAGAACTGTGTGGAAATTGGCTCCAGTAACCTGGGATGGTATTGAGCTGCAGGGATCAAACTTCAAAGATTGGTGGTGGCATGTTTGCAATATCAAGAAGAATGAGATCTCTGAGACTATGATTCAACTTTCGACTTACATCCTATGGTGGCTTTGGAGATCTCGTAATCTTTATGTATTTAATAAAGAGAAAATGCCAGAGACAATAATACTGAAGAGAGCCATGATGGAATGGGAAGAATTCAGATATTTAATCTAATGGAAGTTTGTTTGTTGTGGTGCTGCTTCTTTTTTCTTTTGGCTGTTTTCATAGTTGTTGTTTTCTTTGTTGGTGTTTTTTCTTTGGAGTTGTGTTGGTTTAGTTGGTAGGACTACAGTTGGGCTTCTGGTCTGTTTGGTGTAGTTTGTGTTGCTTTTAGTTGGTTTGTAGCTTTCTTAGTCTAGGCCGGTTGGAGTTTGGTTTGGTGTTATCAAGGTTCGGGTGCATGTACCTACTTGATACCCTGGGTGGTTTGTTATTTAGACCACTATTGTTAGTGCGTCTCCCATTTTATTTTCTACCCGTTGGTAGGCTCGGATTTGGTGCTATGAGATACTTCTATCGTTTGAAAAAAATAAATAAATAAATTATTTCGCGCTTTATGGGTGAAAAAGAAAGCTTATTATTTGGTGGTGTGTAAAACTTATTCTGTCTTCGGTGCAGGGTGAAAATAGCTTAATTCGTTTTTTTTCCTAATATGTTCATTTTAGAACCTACACATAAAGGAACCACCCGAAATAGACATATAGGATCAAGACATTCTGAATATAAAAGGAGATTACAAACAAAAAAAAAACAAAAAACAAAAA